ATACATAGTCAAGTTATACACGATTACGAAATTACAAGAAGCAGAAGACGTTTCAATTTCCGTATCAATAACATATTGGTTGCAATTCACCAATATCAAATCGTTATTTAATTTGATGAAAGAAGTTTTGTAAAGGATTTTTAAAGCAATTTGATCATATGCTCCCTTGATCCTAACGTTAAGGGGGGGGGGGGGGGGGGGGGGGGCAATGGATTTCGAGATAGCAGTTGACCAACAAACTAAGACCAGTGACCGAACTTTTGAGGGGGTCCCGGACCCCAACCGCCAAACGGTGCCCGCGGGGCAGCCACGCCCATATTTGGTCCAAATTAGGCCCAATTTAGCCAAATACTCTGAACATGCCCAAAACCCAAATTTTAGGTGCTCTACTTGTAGCTAGTGGTCTCCTGAACTCGTATATGAAATTTCATCAAGATTGGACAAAAAATGACTGAGTTATGAGCCAAAAACCATATGCCCATATTTGGGCATACGCACCAAATTTGGTAGATTTCGTCCCATAAATTGGTCAAATATCAATATTTTTCACTGAAACTTACTTTATATGAAAGGTAAGCCTAAACTACATATTCTCTGTAAGTTATAGCTTTACATCTGTTTAAATGTGGATACTAAGGCGAAAAGACCACAAAAAATGAACTAAATTGCCCATATCTTGGTTCGCGATATTCGCGGAATTGATCTCATTAAAATTGTAACAACTCAATCAGTTTTCAAAATTTTTCCATGAAATTTTCGGAATCGACTCGAAATCGCATTTCCACCTTAGTTTGAGAACAGATTTTTGATTAAGGCCTCAAAAAAAATTTGGCGGCCAAATTCTGAATTTCTCCGGGAAAATTTTGGAATTTGGCCGCCAAATTTTTTTGGAGGCCTTAATCAAAAATCTGTTCTCAAACTAAGGTGGAAATGCGATTTCGAGTCGATTCCGAAAATTTCATGGAAAAATTTTGAAAACTGATTGAGTTGTTACAATTTTAATGAGATCAATTCCGCGAATATCGCGAACCAAGATATGGGCAATTTAGTTCATTTTTTGTGGTCTTTTCGCCTTAGTATCCACATTTAAACAGATGTAAAGCTATAACTTACAGAGAATATGTAGTTTAGGCTTACCTTTCATATAAAGTAAGTTTCAGTGAAAAATATTGATGTTTGACCAATTTATGGGACGAAATCTACCAAATTTGGTGCGTATGCCCAAATATGGGCATATGGTTTTTGGCTCATAACTCAATCATTTTTTGTCCAATCTTGATGAAATTTCATATACGAGTTCAGGAGACCACTAGCTACAAGTAGAGCACCTAAAATTTGGGTTTTGGGCATGTTCAGGGTATTTGGCTAAATTGGGCCTAATTTGGACCAAATATGGGCGTGGCTGCCCCGCAGGCACCGTTTGGCGGTTAGGGTCCGGGACCCCCTCAAAAGTTCGGTCACTGGTCCTAGTTTGTTGGTCAACTGCTATCTCGAAATCAAGTTTCACAAAAAAATATCCATTGGCCCCCCCCCCTTAAATAATGAATTTACTCATTTGGTAGAAATTTAGTTATTGATTGTTGATGATGCTTCAGTAATAAGTGCGCGAGTTTTGCCCTCTTTTACTTTCATAGGCTACATTTAGTTGGAGTATTAGTTAGTAATACTAATAGACTATCGTCTATTTTTTTAAATGTTGCTACTCAACAAACCTTGATGAGATTCGATGAGGAAATTTTGTGTCACGTGGTCCTTTGAGTTTGTTCCCAAATTTGGTGAGGGAGGTGTAGGCAAACGTTTTCAAAGTAATTCAACTAAGGCCAAGGCTCTTTTTTGTAAGCCTCGTGACTCACAGACTCATCAGGAGGCTCAAATATTCTCATAAAACTATTTCTAATTCTAAAGTAAGATAAAAAGAGACTCAGGGATATTTTACATACAACGTAAGCCAGCATAGGGAGAGGGGTTTTATAGACTATTGCAATTTCGACACAATTCCATTCTGTAAAGTTAACAGAGTGGAATATAATTATAAAAGGGTTACAAAGCTTACGTCATATTATGTGACGCCCGCGCCATATTATGTGAACAATCCCCTTCTAGTAATAGTTTGGCGGAGGAAGTAGGAAACGCGTATCATCATGTAGAGGAAATAGAATTCGCAACATGGAACCAACTTACGTTTACAGTTGTAGTTAAACAGTAAACACTCAGGCACCTTTACGGTTTAAAAACGAGGTTCTTTAAATTTCCTTATTAACTATTTCCTATCTCAAAATCTCCATTCAAATGTCAGCTGATTTCCGATTTAATAAATCGGAAATCAGCTGACATTTGAATGCCGGTGCTAAAATTTGTAAGTTACTGATCATCTAATGTATGCAAGAAAATCTAACCAAAGCGAGACGATATACATATATCTCTCTGTATACGAAATTGTTTGTTTCTCGGGTTCAAGTGCTCTACTAAACAAATAGGAGCTTTTTATACTAGTCCATATAAACATATAAAGGCTGAAACCAGTGAAAGTTCTCGGTTCTCTACCCTACTTTGAATTTGGTATCAGTTTATTTACTTTATCGGTTAATTGTTGGCCGGGCCAAACTGTAAGCAGTCAAAGTCACGGATGGCCTTAATTATAAACAAATATGGGCAAAGTATTCAAATAAGAGCAGTACACAAGTTATAATTTCGAAATTAATTTTGGTCCTTAATGAAAATTGAAAGGGCGATTAGCAAAAACAGTCCGAATAAAAAACAAGGACTGAACCAATTATCAATTTTTGAGAATCCAAATTTAGAACTTTGGTGCATTCCCACTCACAGACTCGTTTAAAAGTTATACCTTAGTCGGTAATATTATGGGGGGGGGGGGGGGCTAACCCCCCCCCCCCCCCCCCCCATAATATTACCGACTAAGGGCTTTATTTTAGAATGTGAGTATGACTATGACTGCTACTAGCTTCAAAAAAATATTGAATTGAAGCTAGTAGCAGTCATAACGTAAGCATACTTGATGAAAGAGGTGGATGAAAGAAACGTTAAACATATTATGACTGATATACCAAAAGGAACACCAAAATTTGACTCGGGGGTTAAATTATGGGGGGTAAAAATATGGACTGTTATAAATATGGTTATTTGGCCCGAAAATACCCAAATTTGACACTCCACACTTTTAATTTCGACTTTCCTTTCGTGAAAAAATCTCAAATCGAAAATATTGATCAATATTTTCCGAAATTATAACCACATTACCGCTTTCACATCAAATTTAATATTTTTACTTTAGATATCCGATCCCTATCAGGTGTTAAAGTACATTTGTTCTGCTACACATGGAGCGTTATTTTAGAATGTGAGTATGAGTATGACTATGACTGCTATCGAAATCTGGTGATTGAAATTCAGTTTTCAGTTGCATGGTGTAAATATTCACAGCTCACGAATTGTACACTGCAACGAAACAGCTGATGCTGAACTTGTATTATTCATCTGAAGTTGCTGATCTGAAATTTAAATTGTTCCTAGTTAACTCCTCAAATTGAAAGGATGGGGGGAATAGACTTTTTGAACCAGTACTAGCTTCAATTCAGCAAACAATAACGTAAGCATACTGAATGAAAGAGGTGGATGAAAGAAACGTTAAGCATATTATGACTGATATACCAAAAGGAACACCAAAATTTGACTCGGGGGTTAAATTATGGAGAGTAAAAATATGGACTGTTATAAATATGGTTCTTTGGCCCGAAAAGGACAAAATTGGACCCCCATAATATTACCGACTAAGGTATGTAAAATTGTAATTGTGTAATTAGCTCTATCGAAGATGTCAAGAGACGATGTATACTTGCTAACATTGCTTTTCAGAACTACAAAAAAGTCTGGGAACAAGGTAGACGTATACCCTTGAAGATTCGACTCAAGATATATGAAGCACAAGTTGTTTCAATACTGATGTATAATTGCAACAGTTGGGCAACATCTAAACAACTCCTTCAAAAACTTGATGTCTGCCACAGGAATCATCTCCGTACGATCATCGGCATGACCTACCCTAATATCATACGAAATGTGACTCTATACAAACGCTGCGAAGTTGTTCCACTAAGTGAGCGTGTTGCTCGTGCACGGTGGAGAATGCTCGGTCACATCCTCCGCAGTGATAATAACTCACCTGCCCAGCTTGCCTTACATTTTGCTGTAGAGAGTCAGAGTTTGATGAGAGGTAGAGTCGGACGACACCAGTCAAACTTGTTAAAAACTATTTTGAACGATTTAAGTGACAGAAACTTTAGACTTGTAAATATAGACGATTTATACCATTTAAGACTTTTTGCAACAGATAGAAAAGCATAGAGAGAGTTAAGCATGATTTAGTTTATTCTGTGTTATTTTTCTCTTGGTGACTTATCAGGTCATCAAGATGTTCTTTATGTTCTATTTTTGATTTGAATAAAGTTATATAATAATATACTAGCTTCAATTCAGCAAACAATAACGTAAGCATACTGAATGAAAGAGGTGGATGAAAGAAACGTTAAGCATATTATGACTGATATACCAAAAGGAACACCAAAATTTGACTCGGGGGTTAAATTATGGAGAGTAAAAATATGGACTGTTATAAATATGGGTCTTTGGCCCGAAAAGGACAAAATTGGACCCCCATAATATTACCGACTAAGGTATGTAAAATTGTAATTGTGTAATTAGCTCTATCTGAAACATGTAATGCGGGTTAATTAGGGTGGGAACGTATGACTAGTTATTCAGTAATATGACTAGTTACTCAGTAATTTGGTTGAGGCGCACGCGCTCCTAGTTCAAGTTACGAAATGAGGATCATGACAGTTGTGACTTACATTGTGATTTGAATTACACCTCGTCTGTTAGAAAGGTTGTCCAGGTAACTAAACCGTAATCACTGAATCTACTAGGCCCCTAGTTATTCTGATTTGTTGAGGATAAGACTGATTTAAAATAAAAATACGTTGAATTGAATGTTTAATAAAAATTAACAGAATGAGGTATATAGACTATAGATGTGGATTCTTGTGAAGAGGTACAGCATTTGTTACACTTGACAGCAGTAAACCAATCAGCCTCTATTATTGACCAATCAAACCCCGGAATCACTGTCACGTGTTAAAAGGTACCTCCTCACAAGAATCCTCGTCTATTCACACATCACAGCACAATATACAAAAACATATAGAGTGAAATGTGCGGGGCACATTACGACCAAGGCACACAACTGAATCCAGTGAAACGAAATTCTATTAGCATACAGTTGCACTAACAGGAAACTGAGGAAAACTAAAATTCTATACACAGTACACAGTGCGGTAAAATACAAAGCACCATTTCTTGAAAACATAACACGGAGTAATAAATACACATAAACAGGTCAACAAAACCCGGATGAGACAATAAATATTGATCGATCAATATCTACTGATTCATCCGGGTTAAGGTGTATTTAAGGATCATAATAATAACTTACTACCAATCATCTATAATTATGTTACACAAGACAGGGGGGCAAAATGGTTAATAACGGTCTGGGTAAGGGTCACCGAACCTTGAAATTCGATCGTGGCACAGCCCCATGGCCTATACCTATCTATCTACTCTGTTAAATTAATTAAATACTCTGTTAAATTATCGCATATTAGCAAGTAATAATACGACCGCATTTAAACGGGTAGTTGAGCAAACTAGCACTATCATCCACGCACAGCCACATACCTAGTTACCGTAAACATCCACTCATTTACCAGGCATCTCTTACTTTCATCATTACAATTACATGTGTGTGTCTAAAACAAGTCCCACCCAGAGGGTCACATTAAAAGGGGGTCTGACTATTTAGCTGACTACTATAACCAAGAAAGACAATAATAAAACCACACAAAGTCAATAAGCCAGGAGTTCATATTCATATAACTGTACACGCATATCAATTAACGGCTTTACAGATTATGAAAGGAAGTGATGGTGGCAGGTGAAGACTTCTTCTAATCCTTTACGGTTTCTCGATCTCTCTGTCGTCGGCTAGTTCCTCGTTACCTGAGATCTGTTGGTTCCACATTTCGCAATAAACAGTACCTTGTTCAAGTAGTTCCTCGTGCCTGCGGGTATAACTACTTTAGAACACAACATCTTCAGAGCCAGGAAATAGGGAACGGAAGTTGTGGATTAACATTGAAACATGTGGCATGTATCTGTCACATATATAATAGCTGTGTGGTAAAAACACACAGTAGAATAAAGCTGACAGATATAATGCAACAGTGGTATGACTATCAGAAGTGTCACTCACGTCCCCCGCTCCACGATGCGACCCTCCTTCAGCACTAGTATCTGGTGACAGTGGACAATGGTAGAAAGTCTGTGAGCTATTATCAGAGACGTCTTACCCTCACACACCTGCAGAGGGGGTGGTTAGGCTGGAGAGATATTTAGGGTGGGGTTTAAATGGAAGAGAGTGGTTTTAAAATACATCTATCAAACTTGCTAGCTTGACAGGTAAATGACAAACGTGCTCTGTTTGGTAAACAGCAAGATTCCACGCAAATTGTTGAATTATTTTGATTAAAATGAATAAACCTACTGTCTCAATGTCTCCTCCCAACACTACATCTACATTGTAGTGCACTGTAAAAATACTATTCTATACTCTCCCAACACTTCGTACCTTGTTAAGAGAAGCCTGGATGTTACGTTCAGTGTTTGTGTCCAGCGCTGAGGTGGCCTCGTCTAACAGCACAATCTGAGGTGACTTGAGCAGTGTCCTGGCTATGGCTACCCTCTGTTTCTCTCCCCCTGACAACTTCAGTCCTCTCTCTCCCACCTTCGTGTCGTATCCTGGGAGGAAGTGGTCTTGTTATTGTTATTATTAGAACGAACAGCACATTATTTTGTTCGCAGATTATTGAGGATTTGAATGTGAGAGTTCTATCAGACCCAGAAATAATGCCTCAAAGAGAAACATGACATGATCAAGTGAAGTATCACAGGCTCAAGTTACTCCAAACTAACCGTCCGGGAATGAGACAATAGAGTCGTAAATATCAGCGTTTCTGGAAGCTTCCTCCACTTCTACATCGGTACTCTCTACTCGACCATACCGGATATTGTATCTGTAGGAGGAGGCGGTTTATTTCACATTTTACAAAGGTGCTATCTAAAGCTCTAAAGGAATTACAACAATTCATATTGGACGTGATCAACTCACCAGTGTTGCGACACACATTTTCAGAGAAAAATCTCATTTTTAAACAAAGAAGTAACGTTAACAAAGAAGTAACGTTAACAAAGAAGTAACGTTAACAAAGAAGTAACGTTAACAAATAAGTAACGTTAACAAATAAGTAACGTTAACAAAGAAGTAACGTTAACAAAGAAGTAACGTTAACAAAGAAGTAACGTTAACAAAGAAGTAACGTTAACAATTAAGTAACGTTAACAAAGAAGTAACGTTAACAAAGAAGTAACGTTAACAAAGAAGTAACGTTAACAAAGAAGTAACGTTAACACTAAACAAAGAAGTAAAGTTAACAAAGAAGTAACGTTACCTGATAGTGTCGTTAAAGAGAACTGTGTCTTGAGGCACAACACCTATAGCTTTCCGTAGAGACTGTTGTGTAACCTGAAGTGGAACAGGAAATAAAAACTAAAATAATCGGCTATTAAGTTCATGTTAGAACAACTGGTATTAAGTAAGGCAAATTTGGCATTTTACTGATACAGAAAAACTGATAATTTCACATAAATTTCGGACCAGGTTCTTCCGCTGGTCCCACTGCGCATTACTTCTGTGTATTAATACATGGATTTGCACAGTCAAACATCCTTGGCACCGAATCATTCTCACTAGCCAGATGTTACCAAGCCTGTTACAAAGTGCGGACACGGTTTTCATGGGGCCTATTTTTGACTACCTTATCGGACCTTATTTGACCGGACATTAAATGAACGGACATAATTATGAACGGACATAATAAATGAACGACCGAAGGCATTCAAAACCATCAAAAATCCAAATTTAACTTAAATAATAACTTCGAAGAAGTGAACGAGGAAGCCGAAGATCAAGAAAGTGATCATGCCGTAATGTGATACTTAGAATATTTAAATTGTATAATAACTCGTTTTTCATTGATCTAATGATATAGTTTAGTCCGAATCCGATGATAGAAATTACAATTGACTGAAATTAAAAAGTTGTCATATCCTAAACATGAGCTCGCAGCACTGGAATAATTTTGGAAAAAATCTCGGACTTTAACTTGGACGGACCTTAAACAGACGGACTTTATTTGAACGGACATTAAGATGAACGCTAGGACCTCCAATTAATGTCCGTTCAAATAAGGTCCGAAAAGGTATTCTCCAGGTAAGACTCGGATTGGCGTGCTTTCAAGGACGTCGTCTATATTTCAATATATTATTTATAATTATATATGACATATAATCTACGCTCTATTGAGGTGTTTCAAGCGGGATTGAATTCTAAACAATCTGTAAACAAAGGAGCTCTGAAAGAGAATAAATTCTATTATAGACTCTTGTATTATTGTAGACCGTTTATGTAACAACACACAGACTTAACACTGTTGTATCATTGTGTCGGTAGAACGAACAAACAGTTCAGTTACAGTTTACACAAAAGGTGCCTTGAAAAAATGATTCATTATTTTTACACTCATTGACACTAATACGGTTGTATTAGTCAATAAGTAAGTAGTAAGTAGAGAAGGACATAATATAATAATCTCTCTAATTGCTCTTTTTAAGCATGAGATGGGGAAGGAGGAAGATGAGGAGGATGATGTTAGAAGGTTGGAGAAACTCTGAAGGAGAGCTAAGTTTGAGCTAGTATATAGAACAATTGCACTGCCACATGTGAAATGGTTATCTGATGAGTGATGAGGGCGGTAGTAAAGTCTTAAAGTCACCACAGCTACACTTAAACCATATTATCATTTACAATTTTGAGTACATACGATGAGTTTGTTTTTCGTTCTAATTCTAATGGTAGCTCTGGAACTGGTGATGGGTCCCAAAAGGTGCCGTCTTAAGAGTCTCGGTTGCTGGACTGACGATCCTTTCAAAGCAGAGGCAACATTCATGATCTAAGTCCAAAATCTTGCGAAGCAGTCGAATAATCAATGGGCAGATCCAATTACAGTGAATAAGATAATAGTTAGGGAGGGTATGTAATGGCGTGGGATTAGTTTAGTAAAAGCAATTTGACTTCAAGAATCACTAGTTGGAAGCCTAAACTAAAGGATTTTTATAGGTGGCAATTTTTATTTTGGCGGGAACACCCATATACGGGCCACGCCCTTTTTCAGGGTTTCGCGGTCACTCGAATTTTTGTATTTCAGCCCAGGAAGGTCTTAAAGACTATTCCGATACACCAAAATGTGCCTAATAGCCACATTTATATACAACTTATGAAGCAACATATACCTTAAAATGCTTCGTTTCGGAAATATGGCCGAAAAACGGTTTTTGGCTTGACGCAGTTCATAATTTCCGTGATTTTTGGCATTTCCGCCTAGGAAGGTCGTAGAGACTATTCTGATACACTAAAATGTACATAATGGCCACATTTATATACAACTTATAAAGCAACATATACCCTAAAAGACTTATTTTCGGAAATGTGGCTGAGAAACGGATTTTTGCCGAGCGAACAATGACAATATTCACAAATGGGCTATTGGACTGTTAACTAGAAAGATCTTAAAGACTCATGAGCAACACAGCATTTGTAAGATTACTCACTTTCTGTCCAGAAAAACCTACAAAAATTGGAGATTGATCTACTTTATTGGGCATCTCTCATAATGGGCCAGGCCAGCAGCATATTTGTGTCTTACGAAAGGGCAATTTTTCAAAATTACGGTTTCTTTAGTAAAGGTGAATGGGTCAGTTGCTAACAGCAAATTGTTCGCAATTACCGACTCCTGCACATCATACTATACTCAAAAACGCTCACTTTAGGAGTCATTAATAAATAACTACTACACGATTTGTGAAAACTCCAACAATTTTTCCTTGGCACCAATTTAGCCAAAATGTAATGACCAAAATTCAACTTTTGATTTATTCATTCCATGAAACCATTATATGTACTAAGAATACGGGACCTAAAATAACTCGGCACTGGATCCGGGCCAGATTGTCGCTTGACCACTGACCAGTACCCCACTTTATAATTATAATTGACTTCACTGCCTCGACCAATATTGGTCTGTAATCCCTGGATTGAAATCTGTTGGCTGCAGTTTAATTTAGCTCATTTACCATAATAGTAATACCGCAGTGGTTTGGTTTGCATAGATTTTCCCATTGTATGATGATAATGTCTTAATGTGTGTCATTCCTTCGTTTTTTAATCAAGTGGTTACTGGCTAGCTCTTTTGTTATTACAGCTGCCTCGAGATCTTATCTAGGGCACAATACATTAGTACTAGAACATTAGAACTGTAATTCTAGAACTTCAGATTAAGATTACTTGGCCGAATGGCAGGGTTCGATATTCGACTCTAAAACGCTCAGTTTAGGAGTGATTAGTAGATAACTACTGCATGATATGCGAAAACTCCAACTAGACAAGGATCATTCTTAATCAAAGTGTTCCTCGACTTGTACTTAAGTCTTGTAACCTACTGGAGTTTGGGCCACTGAATCGAATACGACCTGATATTAATTTTAGGATGTCGGGAAATTCATTAAGATTTTTGTTCTTTGGTTTTTCAATTGTGCTACAAATCCGAGTTTGAGTTGATAACATCGAATTTCTTGTTTGACTCTCAAAGAGAAGAACCAAGGCTTAGGTTCCTCTTTTTGGCTCTGAGATCCAACTTTAAGATCGGACTTCGGAGATCCTCGCGTCATAGATCATGTAAGTGTAACATCAGTACCGTAGATCAGACTTTTGCTTGATATTGGACCTATAAATCTAATTATATATATTCGAAACGGGATGTAACCAAGGTTAATTTAGATAAGATATACCAGCTTTCGGGGTTACAAGACCCCACGAAAGGCAGGCATAGCATCCTAAATCCTCATGCTATCCTCACATTGACCATCTAGGTCCAGACTCCAGCCTCTCATTAAAAAACAGCTATTAGGCCCGAGATCCGTCCCTTGTCCCGTAGTGTCCCGTCAGTAAGAGATCGTTCAGATTTTGGTCATTTAGAACCCTCCCCGCTCTAAAATCCACTTTACCCAAAGCTGGAAAAATTTCACATGTGAAACCTAAATAGCTAAATCAGCATCTTGAGACCTTCTATTATATAAACCCCGTGATCCTTCTATAAGCTTATAACTTATATAAGGCATTGCATGCCGAAATTAAGATTCACCTCAACTGGTAATATGAACCTGGTATGTTACCTGAATGTCCTCAGTCAAATCTCGAACCCTGCTAATGCTATTCTGCCAAGTAACCTTAATCTGAGGTTCTAGATGTACAGTTCCAATGTTCTAGTATTTGTGCCCATGCCCCAGATAAGATCTCGAGGCAGCTCACAGCTGAAATAACAGAAGAAATAGCCAGTCACCACTTGATTAAAAAACGAGGGAATGACACACATTATCATACGATGGGAAAATCTATGCGACTAAAAAAAAGAGTATGGGGTCATTCTGAAGTGGGAACCAAACCACTGCGGTATTATAGGAAATTAGCTAAATTAAACTGCGGCCAACAGATCTCAATCCAGGAATTACAGACCAATATTGGTCGAGGCAGCGAAATCAATCATAATTATAAAGTGGGGTACTGGTCAGCGGTCAAGCAACAATCTGGCCCGGATCTAGTACCGATTTATTTTAGGTCCGGTATTCTTGGCACATATATCATGGTTTCATGGCATGAATAAATAAAAATTTGAAGTTGAATTTTGGTCTGGCACGTCACACATTTTATTTAAATTGGTGCCAAGGAAAAATTGTTGGAGTTTTCACAAATCATGCAGTAGTTATTTATTAACGACTCCTAAAGTGAGCGTTTTTGAGTATATGATGTGCATGAGTCGGCAATTGCGAACAATTTGCTGTTAGCAACTGACCCATTGAACTTTACTAAAGAAACCGTAATTTTGAAAAATTGCCCTTTCGTAAGACACAAATATGCTGCTGGCCTGGCCCATTAAGAGAGATGCCCAATAAAGTAGATCATTCTCCAATTTTTGTAGGTGTTTCTGGACACAAAGTGAGTCATCTTACATCTTGTGACAAATGCTGTGTTGCTCATGAGTCTTTAAGACCTTTCTAGTTAACAGTTCAATAGCCCATTTGTGAATATTGTCATTGTTCACTCGGCAAAAATCCGTTTTTCAGCCACATTTCCGAAAATAAGTCTTTTAGGGTATATGTTGCTTTATAAGTTGTATATAAATGTGGCCATTATGTACATTTTAGTGTATCAGAATAGTCTCTACGACCTTCCTAGGTGGAAATGCCAAAAATCACGGAAATTATGAACTGCGTCAAGCCAAAAACCGTTTTTTCGGCCATATTTCCGAAACGAAGCATTTTAAGGTATATGTTGCTTCATAAGTTGTATATAAATGTGGCTATTAGGCACATTTTGGTGTATCGGAATAGTCTTTAAGACCTTCCTGGGCT